CAACGGGGAAGTGACGCAAGCAAACGAGCTCCGTAGACTGAGAGGTGTGAACGCCCAAGAAGACGAAGCACCACGAGGGCTCGTCCCAAGGTTGGACAGTACGATTTGCAAAGCAGCGGCCTACTGTTACCGAGCCAGACGTCGCCGTCCCAAGTGGGCGAAAACGACTACTCCCTAACGCGGCAGGGTGACGGTCACCCGGTGACCTCGCCAACTACACATGCGTGCGGATCTTCTCTGGACCTCGGGTGTTTTACTTTGTTAAACACCTGTACCGTCCAATAACGTGGAATGTGTCTGAAATGCTACAAAGTTGACCTTTGGCCGCAATACTGACCGAAATGCCTCTTCCTCTGCCCATCCGACTGCTCGCTTTGGTTTATGCACTTGACGTGTTGAAGGTCATCCGAGGAAAAACTTTGAAGCTCGATGTGAAGTACAAACTTGTGAAAGGACGCGGCTTCGGATTATTTCATACTCTGGTGGACGAGAAGGGCCAGAAGCTAGACGTTTTCGTTGACACTGGATCTGGTGCTTTCTTCCTCATCTGGAAAGATTGGTTCGAGAGAGCCACTGGACACCGCTGCAGTGCTTGCCCTATGGGATGTTATAAATGTTCGAAGCGTTGCTCTGTGGGAAGCGTGACGACAACTATTAATTTCGCTGGCGGATACACGGTGAGCGTGTTTCCGCATGAAGCGAAATTAACGGTGGGTCAGGTGTCACAGACGCTCACTCTCGGACTGATATTCAACCAGACTCCTGCCGTCACAGAAGTAACTCCATTGAATCTGATGGGTATTGGCTATGATAGAGGTTTGGCGAACTTCCCGTCCTTGATGACGCAGTTGCGATCGTCACATACTATAACGACCGATATCATTGCTCTTTACTTGTATCCTTCCGCTGATCCCAAGAAGGCAACCGCTGATGGAGGCCTCCTCCTGGGTGGAGGCGATTCTGAATTATATGAGGGTGCATTGAAGTACGTCGAGTTCTCTAGGGACAAAGGATACATCGTGAACATTAATAAGCTACAAGTCGGTGATGGACACATATTTCCTGGTATCAATGTAGATGCAATACTTGACACCGGCACCAACTTAATGTACGCCCCAGGACTATACTACGACAGGCTCATCGAGAATATTAAAGCCCAAACTAACGAGGCTGCAGGTACGCAAGTCGACTTCAAGTATGATCGGGAGACATGGGTCTTTCCCTGCCAATACATGACCAAATTGCCACTATTGCAATTTGGCTTGGGCCCTCAGGGCATGACCCCGTTCTCGATGACATACATGCACTACGCTAGGAGATTCCCTCCTACCGTCTGTCGTCTTGTTATTATGAAGGGCCGGTGGAGCGAATGGATATTCCCCGATCGTATGCTGATCAATAATTATTTTCAGTTCGATCCTACTTCTAAACGAGTGGGAATCGGCAAGTTGAGACCGCGATTTCCGTGAACAATTTCCTCCTTTTGTTGAATTCTCCCAAACCTACGCTTCAGCTGGACTTGTCCTTCTGATAGCATGGTTTTACGAAAACCAGTTAGAAGATTGCTATTCAGCAAGTTATTCGTTTTATTGAGAGATTATTTCCTGGCAAATGAGCAGGCTATGTCGGTGGATTATGATTCAGAGATTATGATCAGATTATGATTACACACGTAAATACATCTGAGAGTCTTGCGTTCACAGGAGTGCATAGATTATCCGTGATGGATATCATCGTCCCTTCTGTTACAAGCTGCAGTCAAAGATACGACTGGAAGGGACAATCAAGATTATAATCATACTCTACCATCAGGATAGAATCTATCTGAAGATAGAATCTACCCTCGGTCCACGAAATCCGATCACTCTTCGGTCACTCTACCTTATTAAGAGGATAAAGAAATGAGCGCAGCTACTGCAGCAGTAGTACTTCTTTGGTTTCGCATGACGAGAACTGCTCTCAGTGCCATGTGAGAGAGACCAGTGAATCCCATGTGTGCTCGAGTGTACAAAAGACCAGATCGATCACGTTTGCGTCCGAGTTATGTGGATCTCTTGGGCAAACAACAATTAGTGTAAAACGATGCACAACTATGGCGAAATTTTGTGCCAATGATGTAACCTCTTGCTGAATATAATCTGCACAGGGTTCATGAGAGGTCGGATGTCGGACAACACAATGTCATTCCGCGAAGTTTGGTAACAGTCACGGAGCATGCATTGCGTGTGTCTCCGCTATGGGAAGCCGCGCCTTTCTGTTTAATAAATTAATGTGAGTAAATCCCGCCGTAGCACGCTCAGGTTGCAATGACGAAGCTCTTGGGAAAGAGGTCGTTTGAACGACAAGAAGTTGATCGAAGGCATCCTCCACCTCTTTAAGAGCAGAGAAACGTGATGATCTAATCATGTATTGCTTGTATGATAAGGAAAGTTTCAATCGACATGGAGTTCGACCACTTGTAGGGCCGCCGCATAGAACAAGGTGATCATGAGCATTAATCTACAATTAATTCTATGAGAACATTAATAGTTTTCTGTGAAATTAGTGTGGCAATCATCTCAACGACAAT